GTGTTGATATAGGAGTTAAAAAGAAATTATTTAGGCAGATAGTGAGGGTAAGGAAGTCCTCAATAAGGTTTTCCTTTTAATGAAAAGCAGCCCCCAAATCATTTCTTTTGTAACAAAGAGCAGCCTGTAAAATCGAGCTGCAGACAGAGAAAGGCAAGCTAGGGCCAGGCGCGGTGGCTCAAGCCTGTAATCCCAGCACTTCGGGAGTCCGAGGCGGGCAGATCATGAGGTCAAGAGATCAAGAACATGGTGAAACCCTGTCTCTACTAAAAAATACAAAAATTAGCTGGGCGTGGTGGCATGCACCTGTGGTCCCAGCTACTCGGGAGGCTGAGGCAGGAGAATTGCTTGAACCCGGGAAGTGGAGGTTGCAGTGAGCTGAGATGGCGCCACTGCACTCCAGCCTGGTGCCTGGCAGCAGAGCGAGAATCTGTCTTATTAAAAAAAAAAAAAAAAAGGCAAGCTAGAAGCATCCATGGGTGAATGCTGGCAGCGGTGCCAACAGGAAAAGGGTACCTGGGACTAGGCATGCCCACCATGGTGGCTTTATCTTTCCTTCTCTTTGCCACCAACGTGTACAGTAAGGGGCAGGTAACATGGCACCAGCCAAGCAAAGACCCCATTTGTATATAATAAAATCAGGATGGGATGGCCAGTTTCCATGCACACTATATAAACATCACACCTGGTCCAAACAATCTTTGGGCGCTATGTAAATCAGACATCACCTCCTCAAGCCTGTCTATAAAACCCTGTGTACTTTGCCACAGGCTGAAAGTCCACTCAGCTGCCTCTCGAGCATGCAGGAGAGAGAGCTGTTCTCCTTTCTCTTTCTCTTTCTTTTGCCTATTAAACCTCCACTCTTAACCTCACTCCACGTGTGTCCATGTCCTGGATTTCCCTGGCATGAGGCAATGAACCTTGGGTGTTACCCCAGACAATGACACCACTTCAGTGTGACTTTTAACAAGCTTGATTATGAGGTTTCCCTGCTAATTGCAAGTAACTGCAAAAAAGCAGATAAAGATTACCAAAGGCAGAGGTAGCAACCAATAGAAAAAGAAGACAGAAAATCTACAAAGAAGATGCAGACATTTAAAGAACCTCATCAACAGACTCCAGCTTCCCATGTGGGACAAACAGCCTCTAGAACAATAATTAATGCTTATAATAATGACCTTTAGTTTCAAGAGGTTAAGCTACTTTTAATGTCTTCTAAGAAGGAAGAGAAACATGTAATCAACTTGAATATGATTTCTGCCACATGATTAAGTTTAGTGATTAAAGTGATAACCTGCATTTCTTTGATGGTTCTGAATAAACATGTTACTGTACATAGTCCTTTTTGGAAATTAAAATAATTTTAATAGGTGTATTAGTCTGTTCTCACATTGCTACAAAGAAATACCTGAGATTAGATAATTTATAAAGAAAAGAGATTTAACTGGCTCATGGTTCTGCAGGCTATACAGGAAGCATGATGCTGGCATCTGCTCAGCTTCTGGGGAGGCCTCAGGAAACTTACAGTCATGGCAGAAGGTGCAAGGGAAGCAGGCATATCTTACACGGCCAGAGCAGGAGGAATAGAGAGAGCAGGGGAAGGTGCTACACACTTTTAAATAAGCCGATCTCACAAAAACTCACTATCACAAGAACAGCACTGAGGGGATGGTGCTAACTTATTCATGAGAACTTTGCCTGCATAATCCAATCACCTCCCACCAGGCCCCACCTCCAATACAGGGGATTACAATTCAACATGAGATTTGGGCAGGGACAAAGATCCAAATCGTATCAATAGGAAAATAAAACTGCAATATAAATCAATAGAGAAGAATATGGTTTCTTAAACATCAGTTTTGCTTTTCAGATAACCATTGGTCTCATGTGAAAAGTAGTTTAAGGCCGGGCGTGGTGGCTCAAGCCTGTAATCCCAGCACTTTGGGAGGCCGAGGCGGGTGGATCATGAGGTCAAGAGATCGAGACCATCCTGGTCAACAAGGTGAAACCTCGTCTCTACTAAAAATACAAAAATTAGCTGGGCATGATGGTGCATGCCTGTAGTCCCAGCTACTCGGGAGGCTGAGGCCGGAGAATTGCTTGAACCCAGGAGGCAGAGGTTGCGGTGAGCCGAGATCGTGCCATTGCACTCCAGCCTGGGCAACAACAGCAAAACTCCGTCTCAAAAAAAAAAGAAAAAAGAAAAGTAGTTTAGTGAAAAGTATAGCAAAACTTTATGCCAATTTAAACTTCAGGACATTTAGGCTGGGTGCAGTGGCTCACACCTGAAATCCCAGCCAGCACTGTGGGAGGCTGAGGTGATAGGATTACTTGAGCCCAAGTGTTCCAGACCAGCCTGGGCAACATAGTGAGACCCGATCTTTATTTTTAAAAACAAAAACAAAAACTTTAGGACATTTAGTTACTCGAACTAGAAAAAGCACACTTTTAGCCATACTGATATCTCTAGTCTCTCATATTGGCGAGATACCAGGATTTTTTGTTGTTTTATTCTATATGGCTATTATCTAAGCTCCAACCAGATAAACAAAAAGAATCTACTAGTAATGCCAGAAAACAATAAATACTATTTATAAGTACTCAATTAATGAATTTTCTTCCTTTAAAAAAATCATAAGTTTGAAAATTCTAGTGCATATTTGAAAATTCCAGTGCAAGGCAAATAAATCTTCTCTAATTAAAGTCATCTAAGTCACCCAAGATCAAAGCACCAAAGCAAAAAAAAGAGTAGTGATGAGAAAATAAAATTATAATTCATAACATTAAATTACAAAATAAAACATATAAATAGATCTTTTTTAAGTATAACATCTAAAAGAATTCTTTTGGTTTGGCAGCAGTGGCTGACACCTGTAATCCCAGCACTTTGGGAGGCCAAGGCGGACAGATCACTTTGCGCTTAGGAGTTTGAGAACAGCCTGGACAACATGGTGAAACCCCACCTCTCCAAAAAAAAAAAATTAGCCAGGTGTGGCATTGTGTGCCTGTAACCCCTACTTGGGAGGCTAAGGCTGGAGAATCACTTGAACCTGGGAGGTTAAGGTTGCAGTGAGCCGAGATCATGCCACTGCACCCCAGCCTGGGCAACAAAGTGAGACCCTGTCTCAAAATAAATACATACATAAATACATAAGTAAAATAATTCTTTAAAGCTGTAATTATCTTTTCTATCATTTATTTTTTTTTTCTTAAAAAATTAAATCAGGAATAGGAGTGGCTAAGCTTTTCATGGGATTAATTCATTTGTCCAAGGATTACAGTTGTGATGGTCTATTGTACCAACATCTAAAAAAGAAATGTTTAGTAGACACTTATGAGTAGTATACTGTGAATATTTTAAGGTAGATTAGTCAAATTCATTCTTCATCTGACAAGGCATATTCTTGTACTTTGAAATCTTTCAGTCAAAACACATTAATTTTGGCTCACACCTGTAATCCCAGCACTTTGGGAGGCCGAGGCGGGTGGATCACGAGGTCAAGAGATCGAGACCATCCTGGACAACATGGTGAAACTCCGTCTCTACTAAAAAAATACAAAAAATTAGCTGGGCATGGTGGCGCGTGCCTGTAATCCCAGCTACTCAGGAGGCTGAGGCAGGAGAATTGCCCGAACCCAGGAGGCGGAGGTTGTGGTGAGCCGAGATCGCGCCATTGCACTCCAGCCTGGGTAACAAGAGCGAAACTCCGTCTCAAAAACTAAACAAAACAAAACAAAACGTAATTTACTGAAAACACAAAATACATCGGGAAAAGCATTGTAATCCAAATGTTCAGAATCAAAAATTCAAGTGCATATTTGTAAATCCGTTTTAAAAAATTAAACAAAATCTTATTCACCCTTTAAACAAGATTTTTATTATCTTTATCATCTAGTAATGATGTAATATGAGCATAGAAATTTCTGTCATCTACAGAGTAGTATCTTTTAATAAAAAGTTAAAATAGTATAAAACCTGACAAATTTAGTCATTCTCAGCAGAAGCTGTTAGCTAGACAAAAATAAGTTCAATGCTAGTCAATAACAAAGAGAGATTATGTTTTGAGGTAGTCTTAATATGGTTAATAAAACAAACCCAAAACTTTAGATTGACATATTGTTAGTACAAACATAAATTACTTGGTCGTAAACTGGTAAAACTTACTACAGCATGTTGAAAATTTACCACATGTAAAATGAATACTTATTGTATTCACGGACAAAATATTTCACTAAGTTGATGTCACTTTAATCATTTGTAAAAGTTAATAAAAGTAGACTTTGCTTTAATGAATATTTAAAAACACAATAAAAATTACTGTTTATATGAAGTATTATGATTTGATCAATGAGAAGTCATTTGTGAGTTCTTCCTTTTTAAAACAACTATATACATTTTTGCCTTGATTCGTTAAAACTAAATTATTTCATTTAAGCACTTTACCTAGAAATGTCATCTTTTAAATATAACAATGGTGTCAGAGAATTAGGGAACTTAAGGGCTAGAAGGATCTTCGGGGAATATCCAGTGTGGGGGAGCTGCAAACCTTCATTCGCATCAGAAGTCCCTGTGGTTCTTGTTAAAATGCAGATGGCCAGGTCTTACCCCACCAATCTGACTCAGTAGTCTGGGATGAAACCAGGAAATAACCATTAGGGAAATAACCCTTGGGGTGGGGTTATACTCCTAACCCCGCCCTAAGGTGACTCCCATATAGGCTGTCTACAGATCACTGGGAGGAAAAATATTGTTATAATCTACCACCTTCCTTCCTAAATCAGGAAACTTCCTAGAACATCAGCATTCCATTTCTGCCTCAAACTACTCCTTCTTCAGCCCCTATAGGTAACTCACTGCCATTATATGCAGCCCATAATACATCTAATGGAAGTTTCTTACAGAAACCTATACATTCAAAACATAAAGACATTCAACATGGGCTTACACAACTACATTAATGTAAAGAGTCATTGAAGAACGTTATGAATGAGGAACTGACCTGCTCCTTCTGGTATGTGTTAATTAGATTCAAAAACAAGGCATAACATCTGGAATAGCTGGCCAAGGCTCCACAGCAGTCACGGTAAGAAGTAAGTTTGCTGCAGAAATGCCAAATGGGAAAATAAAGGTAAACTTTGTTTTTCTATAAAATTCAAGTACACATAGTATCACTTTAAATGCAGACCTTCAAAATATTGCCCAGTTCAAGAAAAGGAGTCTAAAAATACTCTACACATCAGTTCAGAGAAGCTGCAAGGAGGCTTGCTATCTGCTGTAAACTCTAGAGAGATGGATCCAGAAACTTTTAAAAGGTAACTTATGTATGTGGTGTGAATTTACACTATCCACGTAGTTCAAAAAACACAAACTTACATGAAATTTACGTCAAATCTGGTGGGATACCAGTGAGTCCCCTGGGACCACATCAGAAGCAAACGTAAAACTGCTTTAATAGGCTAGGCATGGTGGCTCATGCCTATAATCCCAGCACTTTGGGAAGCTGAGGCAGACGGTTCACTCGAGGTCAGGAGCTCGAGATCAGCCTGGCCAACACAGTGAAACCCCATCTCTACAAAAATACAAAAACTAGCTGGGTGTGGTGACATGTGCCTGTAATCCCAGCTACTCTGGAGGCTGAGGCAGGATTACTGCTTGAACCCAGGAGGCAGAGGTTGCAGTGAGCCAAGACTGCACCACTGCACTCTGGACTAGGCAATGGGGCAAGACCACCTCAAAACAAACCAAAAAAACAAAAAGAATCCCTATACATTCAAAACAAATAAATAAAAACCTGCTTTAATATACTAGATTGGTAGTGCTATACTAATATTAGGCAAAACAGACAGACCTTAAAGCAGAAAGCCTTGAAAACAGCTTCAAAATTTCTAAAGCAAGTAAGCAAGCAAGCAAACAAAACCCATAAGGCGATATTGACAAACCCACAACAAATCAAGAGATGTTCATAAATGTCTAATTGATGAATCAGTAGGTAAAACATCATTAATATGTTAAAAATTTGACCACGTACCAGGCCATAAACAAGTCTCAGTAAATTTTCAGAGAACTGGTATCTCAAAAACCACATTCTCTGGTCAAAGTGCAATTAAATTAGAAACCATTGGCTGGGCACAGTGGCTCACACCTGTAATCCCAGCACTTTGGGAGACCATGACGGGTGGATCACGAGGTCAGGAGATCAAGACCATCCTGGCCAACATGTTGAAACCCCATCTCTACTAAAAATACCAGGCATGGTGGTGTGTGCCTATAGTCCCAGCTGCTAGGGAGGCTGAGGCAGGAGAATTGCTTGAACCTGCAAGGCGGAGGTTGCAGTGAGCTGAGATCGTGCCACTGCACTTCAGCCTGGGCAACAGTGTGAGACTCTGTCTCAAAAACAAAAAAAATTAGAAACTACTTAAAAACTACATTTGTAAAAAACATTTTTTGGGAAATGTAAGAACACATAACTTATGGGTCAAAGAAACATGAAAATTACAAAACAAATATTTAAATATGAGTAACTAAAATATTACAGATCAAAACTTGTAGGATGGGCCAGATGCAGTGGCTCACACCCATAATCCCAGCACTTTGGGAGGCTGAGGCAGGAGGATCACTTGAGGCCAGGAGTTCAAGACTAGCCTGGCCAACATGGCAAAAAAAAAAAAAAAATCTTTATTAAAAAAAAAATACAAAAATTAGCTGGGCATGGTGGCACATGCTTTTAGTGTGCCAGCTACTACAGAGAGTGAGGCAGGTAAATCACTTGAACCTGGGAGATGGAGGTTGCAGTGAGCCAAGATGGCAACACTGCACTCCCGCCTGGACAACAGAGCAGGACTCCATCAAAAAAAAGACAAAAAAAACCTTGTAAATATTCATTTCCTCTAATTAGTATTTAGAGGAAAATTTGTAGGCTTAAGGAAGCGGAAAAGAAAGGAGTTATGGTTTTTACTAAAATAGCTAGAAAAAAAATAGGATATATTCACAGAGAGAAGAAAAGGATTAATAAGGGGAAGAGCAGAAGGAATAAGACAGGAAGCAAGCATACAATAAAGTGGACCAATAAATACATTTGTTCCTGGTAAACACTAGTAAAATAGGGAAGATTTAGCAAGACTAAGGAAAAAGAGAAACAGCACGAATAACCAAAATTAGGAAAGAAAATCAATATTAACAATGAAGAGGCAGAGTACCATAGGAGTTCAAAGTATGAATTCTAGAGCCAAACTATGGTTTGAATTGCGGCTCTACCACATACTAGTTGTGTGATCTTGGGAAAATAGCTAAACTTCTCTATGCCTCAGTTTCTTCATATGTAAAATGATAATGACAATAATAATACATATTTTTAAAAGTTGTTATAAGGATGAAATGAATTTGTATTTGGAAAGTATTCAGAATATTGCCTAGCATGGTGTAAGAGCTATACAAATATCTGTTAAATAGGTAAAATAAATAAAAGGGGGCATAATTAGAGATACAACAGAGATTAAAATAATAATAAGAGAATACTTGGAACAACTCATGTTGTTTAAAAACTTAGATAAAATTATCAAATTCCTACAGAAGTATAACTTTTTGAAACTGAACCAAGTAGAAATAAGAAATATATAACCATATAGGAAGAAATTGAATCAGTAGTCAACAATATTCACACATACATACAGACACATAGACCCAGGATAAAAATAGCATTTTGAGCAAGTTTTTAAAACTTTTCACAACTTCTTCTAGAAAAAAGAAAAAATTGGATTACCTACTAACCCATTTAATGAGGCTAGTATAAACTTAACACTAAACCCAGACAAGGACAATATAAGAAGGGAAAAATACAGTTCAATGTAACTCATGGTCATCAATGACAAATCCTAAACAAAATATTAGTTAACCAAACCCAGCAATATATAATGGTTTAACCAAGAAACTTTAATGTAATTTACTACATTAACAGATTTAGAAAAGAAAATCCATAATCAAAAGCAATTCAGGTAAATGTGATTTATCATATACACAAAACTAAAGACAAAAACCACATGATTATCTCAACAGACACAGAAAAGGCTTTTGATAAAATTCAATACCCCTTAATGTTAAAATCTATTAATAAACTAGGTACTGGCGTCAGGCATGGTGGCTCGCTCACGCCTGTAATCCAGCACTGAGGTCAGGAGTCTGAGACCAGCCTGGCCAACATGATGACACTCTGTCTCTACTAAAAATACAAAAATTAGCCAGGCATGGTGGCACGTGCCTGTAATCCCAGCTACTCTGGAGGCTGAGGCAGGGGAACTGCCTGAACCCGGGAGGCAGAGGTTGTAGTGAGCCAAGATCATGCCACTGCACTCCAGCCTGGGCAACAGAGACTCCATCTCAAAAAACAAAACAAAAAACTAGGTATCGAAGGAACAGACCTCAAAATAATAAGCGCCATCTATGACAAACCCACAGCTAATATCATATTAAATGGGCAACAGCTGGAAGCATTTCCCGTGAAAACTAGCACAAGACAAGGACGCCCTGTCTCACCATTCCTATGCAACATAGTATTGGAAGTCCTAGCCAGAGTAATCAGTCAAGAGAAGGAAATAAAGGGCATCCAAACAGAAAGGGAGGAAGTCAAACTATCTCTGTTTGCAGAAGAGTAGCTATGAAAACCTACAACAAATATTATTTTCAACTGGTGTAACCATGAAAATATTTCCTTTAAAGTGAGAAGAAAGACAACAGGCCCAACACTCACCGATAATTCTACATCTAGAAAACCCCATTGTCTCAGCCCAAAAGCTCCTTCAGTTGATAAACAACTTTAGCAGTTTCAGGATACAAAATCAATGTACAAAAATCACTACCATTCCTGTACGCCAACAACAGCCAATCTCAGAGCTGAATCAGAAAGGCCATCTCATTCAGAAAGAATAAAATACCTGAGAATACAGCTAACCAGGGAGGTAAAAGATCTCTACAACGAGAATTACAAAACACTGCTCAAAGAAATCAGGGAAGACACAAACAAATGGGAAAACATCCCATGCTTATGGGTAGGAATAATTAATATCATTAAAATGGCCAAACTGCCCAAACTTACAGATTCAATGCTATTCCTATCAAACTACCAATGACATTCTTCACAGAACTAGAAAAAAAAACTATTTTAAAATTTACATGGAACCGAAAAAGAGCCCAAATAGCCAAGGAATCCTGCATAAAAAGAACAAAACTAAAGATATCACATGCCCAACTTCAAACTATACTACAGTGCTGTGGTAACCAAAATAGCATGGTACTGGTACAAAAACAGGCATATGGACCAATGGAACAGAATAGAGAGCCCAGAAGTAAGGCTGCCCACCTATAACCACATGATCTTCAACAAAGCTGACAAAGCAAACAATGGATAAAAGACTTTTTAATTCAATAAATGAAGAGGGGGTAACAGGCTAAACATATGCAGAAGACTGAAGCTGGACCCCTTCCTTTCACTGTATACAAATATCAACTCAAGATGGATTAAAGACTTAAATGTAAAATCCAAAACTATAAAGACCCTGGAAGATAACCTAGGCAATACTATCCTGCACATAATGGGCAAAGATTTCGTGACAAAGACATTAAAAGCAAACGCAACAAAAGCAAAGTTGACAAATGGGATCTAAGTAAATTTAAGAGCTTCTGCACAGCAAAAGAAACCATCAACAAAATAAACAGACAACCTACAGAATGGGAGAAAATGTTTGCAAACTGTGTATCTGTCCAAGGTCTAATATCCAGCATGTAGAAGGAACTTAAACAAATTTATAAGGGAAAAACAAACAACCCCACTACAAAGTGGGCAAAGGACATGAACAAACACTTTTCAAAAGAAGACATACATGCGGCCAACAAGCATATGAAAAAAAGCTCAATACCATAGATCATTAGAGAAATGCAAATCAAAACCACAATGGGATACCAACTCACACCAGTCAGAATGGCAATTATTAAAAGTCAAAAAAAAGTCAAAAAATAACAGATGCTGGCAAGGCTTCAGAATAAAGAGAACACTCATACATTGCTGATAGGAGTGTAAATTAGTTTAATCATTGTGTAAAGCAGTATGGTGATTCCTCAAAGAGCTAAAAGCAGAACTACCATTTGACGTAGCAATCCTATTATTGGGTATATACCCAGAGGAAAGCATTCTACCATAAAGATACATGCACACGAATGTTCACTGCAACACTATTCACAACAGCAAAGACATGGAATCAACCTAAATGGCCATCACTGACAGACTGGATAAAGAAAATATGGTACATATACATCATGGACTACCATGCAGCCATAAAAAGGAATGAGATCATGTCCCTTGCAGGAACATGGATGGACCTGGAGGCTATTAGCTCAGCAAACTAGCGCAGGAAAAGAAAACCAAATACCACATGTTCTCACTTATAAGTTGGAACTAAATGATGAGAACTTATGAACACAAAGAAGAAAACAACAGACGTTGGGGTCTACTTGATGGTGAGGGTGGAAGGAAGGAGGGAGCAGAAAAGATAAACTCTTTTAACTATTGGATACTGGGCTTAATTTTCGAGTGATGAAATAATCTGTACAACAAATCCCCATGACACAGTTTACCTATATAACAAACCTTCACATGTACCCCTGAATCTAAAATAAAAGTTTATAAAAAGATTCAGGGCAAGCATTTGACAAAACTGAACACCCATTAATGAGAAAAAAAAGTCATTCCTTAACTTCAGGATAGTTATGAAAACCTACAACAAATATTATTTTCAACTAATAAAATCACAAAAATATTTCCTTTAAAGTCAGAAGAAAGACAACAGGTCCAACACTCACAATGTTGTGCTGAACTCCTAAACAATGCAATAAAGAAGAGATGAGGACAGGGGAAAGAGTTACAATAATTGAAAAAAAAAATTATATGCAGACAATTTGCAAAGAAAATCCAAGAGCATCTACAGACAAACTCCTAGCCCTAATGTTCATCAAGATTCTTGGATATCCTTCCTGTAGGAGACAGCTAAAATACCCAAACAAGTAAATATTTTAAAAGAGATATTCATAAAAGGTTAATAAGTTCATAAGGAAGGGAAAAGAACAAGAAGAGTTTGGATTTTTTTTTTTAAGAGTCTTGCTCTGTTGCCCAGGCTGGAGTGCAACCTCCACCTCCCAGGCTCAAGCAATCCTCCCACCTCAGCCTCTCAAGTAGCTGGTACTACAGGCACACACTACCATGCCTAGCTAATTTTTTGACAGGGGGTGTAGGGGGGGCACTAGAAATGGGTTTCACCATGTTGTCCAGGATGCTTGGGTCTCGAATGCTTGGGCTCAAGTGATCCCCCCACCTTGGCCTCCCAAAGTTCTGGGATTATAGGCATGAGCCACTGTGCTGACCAAGAGTTTGGATCTTAAAATAGAAAAAAAGTGAGGGATTTGAAGGCCAGGCAGGGTGGCTCACACCTGTAATTCCAGCCCTTTGGGAGGCTGAGGCAGGAGGATCACTTGAGCCCAGGAGTTTGAGACCAGCCTGGGCAACATAGCAAAACTTTGTTTCTACAAAACAATAAAATTGGCTGACCATGGTGGCATGCACCTGTGGTCCCAGCTACTAGGGAGGCTGAGGTGGGAGGATCGTTTGAGCCTGGGTGGTTGAAGCTGTAGTGAGCCCTATTTGTGCCACTGCACTTCAGCCTGGGCGATAGAGTGAGACCCCATCTCAACAAGAAGAAGTGAAGGATTCATCTTATAGCAAGATTCAAATTAAATCTGTAATAGTGAGTACACTGTGGGACAGGTCTGAGGAAAAACCAAATCGAATGCCCAGAAACAAATCTGCAATTACATGGAAACTTCTGTCTGACTGACAAAATCAGTGAGAAAGGACAGCATAGTCAGTAAAGGGTGCTGGAACAATCAACTATCCACATGGGAAAAATATGAAGTTGGACCCCTACATGACACCATAAGCAAAAATAAATTCCTTATGATTTGCCAATGCTTCAGATAGGCAGTAATTAGACATCCAGAACAAAGCTCAGGGAAGTACAGTATAAAATGATCAGATCTGGAGGGAAGGAGGGGTTGGGGCTGAGGAACCACCTGCTGGGTACTATGCTTACTGCCTGGGTGACAAAATTGTGGAGACCCCAAACCTCCACATTACACAATTTACCTATGTAACAAACCTGTGTACCATTTAATCTATAATACAAGTTGACATTCATTTAAAAAAAAATCAGATCTGGACTCACATCCACATCCAGGGGTCCTGGGGTCAAGTACCAATTCAGGAACCTTTGCATTTCTTTAAACAACTACAGCATTACAGTTCAAGAAAAGCCCCATGCTTCCAAGAAGAATCATTACGTAAAAATACTGACAAAGAGCGGGAGGAAACAGAAATGCGTAATTTAAAGACAGCTCTGAAATTTAACATCATCTTGCTTTGAGCCAACCTGGATTCAAATGATCCTTATTTCTGGAGGAAATAAAGTAAGTGTAGACATGACTAGCGCAAGTGTGAACCAAAGTTCAAATAACTGAAATAGAATAACCTATTACAAAGTCAGATCAGACTTTCTAAGCAGTGGTCCCCTTTCTGATTTAAAACTCTTGTTTATTTCCTAGCAAACTGGAATGTTTGCTTTGTTTTGTATACAGTTTTTTTTTTTTCATCTCAAATAAGCTGAGAAGATTAAGCACACACCGCCCGTAGCTCACAACTCACCAAAGAACTAAAATGACTTAACAACCAATGAGTTTAGAATCACAATAGAATCATATAGGCAATGGAGTCGTTTGTTTGAATTGTTCATTTTTAACTTGGGCCACCATATTTACCCTTTCTGGTAGGTGACCTAAAAAGAAGAAGAGAAAGGATTCCTTGCCAGTCACTCAGGCAAATATTGAAGATAACCCAAAATCTAAGCATGAGCATTTCTGTAAGGCAAGTTCATGTCTTAGTCTACCTACCTGAATATTCTGGCAATATTGGTACAGACGTCCTTGTCACCCATGTACTGTTGCATCACCGTGCAGAGCTGGGGAAGGGCACTGATGCTTAGGAAGTTACTTCTTACTAACGGTGAATCAACCAAGTTTCTCAATGTAGCAGTCACCTAGGATAAAACCATGCTTGTGCCATTTTTTTTTAAACTGAAAAAGTATAACCACACGAAGCAGCACAGTATAATTCATCTCATAAATTTCCTTACATCAGTAGCTAAACCAAGCTCCCACTACGCATCTCCCACCATTGAATGTGAGCCTAGGCACAAGTAGCGACAAATGAAAACAAAGAAAGCCTAATTTAGTTCAAAGGCAAGGAATGGAATGTTAATCTTAGTGAGCCACTGGTATACCCCAAAGCAAGGGTTAAACAAATCATCATATAGGTCTGTTAACAGTCCTAAGACCTTCAACTGACCCTGTGATAGCCACATCAGTTCCGGAGATTAGAAACTTCTTGTTCTATGTTTTTCTTTTCTTTTTTTAATTTTTTTTATTTTATAGGTATTGTCATCTGATTGGTCTATGCTTTTATAAGTAGCATCAGCTAATGATATGGCCAAGGAATATTTAAGATCTTTAGTTGCATTCTCTCCCAAGAGGCAAGAATATCTCACAAATTTCTCGTAGTTTGTAAAAAAAATTTCAGGAAAGCTATCTACTTTACCTTTGTCAAAGAGTCAAGAAGAGAACAGTTTAGTTAATCATATAACTAACATTGTTATCGAATAATTTTAATATGCAGTGTGCTCCTTCCTTGTGGGACAGTACAGGCCAGCTACTGGTTAAGAGCCAGTTCAGCCCCACCACCTGTCAGCCTGGGTTAGTTATTTAACCTCCCGGAGCACATTTTTCTCATCAATAGAGTAGAGGTGATGATACTTGCCCAGCAGTTGTGAGGATTCAATGAGATGAGATGTGTGCATGGCATCGCTGCCAACAGTTAAGAGTCAAATGACAGGGATTCAAGTCCCACGTCTCTTCCTAGTGAAGTGCCTGGGGCCAGCCACTCCTTCCTCCACTTCCCCATCTCCTCATCTGTGAAAAGTGGGTGACAAGCACTGCTCACCTCTCAGGGGGTTGTGTGTAGCAAATGGAAACATGTAGCACTGTTTTTATTACTTATCTAATACTGTAAAGCATCATGTAAACATAAAGCATCACTACGGCCATAGTAAATATACTTTTAAAAACAATTCTTAAGATGACATGGTTTTTCCTTATAACAACAGCAAGTAAAAGATATGATAAAATTTAACTGACTACCCTGAAAACACAAAAAATGTTAAAAAAAAAATCTTTCAAATAAATGTGTACACGTCTTTTGCAATCAATTCAATTATACAATGATTCTGTAAATTCTTCCCTGAAAGTTTCAGTATCCCACACATTGGAGGTGAAACAAACTACTTGAGCATTCCACTTAACCCATGGCTCTGCATAATATCACAATATAGTGATAACTATTCTTCTTATAACCTAAGGAATGGATTTTTTTTTTTTTTTTGAGACAGAGTCTCCCTCTGTCGTCCAGGCTAGAGTGTAGTGGCAGGATCTTGGCTCACTGCAACTTCCACCTCCCCCATTCAAGCAATTCTTGTGCCTCAGCCTCCCAAGTAGCTGGAATTACAGGCGCATGCCACCATGCCTGGCTAATTGTGTATTTTTAATAGAGATGAGGTTTTGCCATGTTGGCCAGGCTGGTCTCGAACTCCTGGCCTCTAGTGATCCACCCACCTCAGCCTCCCAAAGTGTTGGGATTACAGGGGTAAGCCACTGTGCCCAGCCAGGAATGGATCTTTTGTGAAGACTAATGAACCATTCTAGGAATTCCATTGCTGTCACAAAATGGAAAATTCTCTTTATCTGACCCTGTTTCTACCTGTTCTCCTGAGACAGCCCAGGCACTTGAACACTACTGGTTTACATCAATTCAGAGGATACCTCAAAATTCTCTTCCATGGAGACCAGAGTACAGATGCCTGTGTGACTCCCAGGCAGACAGACACTATGGGAAACCATGAAATACCCATTCCAGTCACTGCACACCAACGGTTCCTTTTCCCTGTCCCTAAAGCATCAAAGATAGGGCATCCCAATCCACGGTCATCTTCACACTCCCCACATCTAACCTCTGGCAGAAAGGACGTCAGCAGAAAGGATCATAGTTTCCTTAGGAACTTTTATTTTCTTGTTTTAATCTCAATTTTTTCTCCTTCTCAGGCCTTATTCTCACCTCATTAGAAAAAGTTTAGACAGCTCAAGGTTCTTCTGCCCCACAAACACAACTTTCATAAATAACCCAAGTCAGGAGAGAAAGCCCACATTTATATGTGACACACCATCTGACTGAAATTCCTACCCATTTACTGCATGTGATACACACAGTTGAGTAATATACATACCTCACATATTTCCAAGTTTGTCATTTGTGGTGCTGGTAAAAATAATGTACATGAAACATATACCACACATTTGAAAAATACACAGCAGTAGCTCAATGGATGATACCATCAGCCTAGTTGCTCAAGCAGAGACATCCCAGAATCCTGCCTTTCTGCTATCTGTTACCCCAAGCCATACTGACTTTTTGTCCATATCTCCCAGGATAATATTCAGTTCCCTGACCATGGTCTACACGGCTCAATAGATCTGGTTCTTCTCAACCTATCAAGCTTCATCTCATACCATATAGGGCCCATAAACTCTACTTCATACTAAGTTATTTAATATTATGTGTTACTATCTGTCTACTCCTCCAGACTAGATGCTTCAGTAAGGGCATAAATCTTGTTCATCCTTTTCACCATTGTACTTCCAGCTCCAAGTCTAGTGCCTGGTACATGGTGGGTGCTCAATAGGCATTTACTAATGGCATGAATGAATGGGTGAACATCTACAAAGGAAAGACAGGGATATCAGAACGCCATGGGCTAAGCAGACAGTATCTCTGAGGTAGATAGATTTTAAGATGATTTTTTTAAAGCAGAGAAATAAAAAATTATGAATGAAAGAAAAATGGACTCTAGAGTTACCCAGCTCAGGCTAACTTGCCTATGAAGGCCTTTCAGAGGTCAATCAGATGCTTCCTCTTCCATGTTAACAAAGCATCCTGTTCCTGCCTCTATAACCCCTATCACAGAAGCATCCTCACTGTCTCAAGCACCTTCTCTCCCATGGTGAACTCCTCTAGGATATAAACCACTTCTTATTCTTCTTCCTACTCAGAGGACAACAAATGTGCTCATAAAAAGCTCTTGAATGTTCAGCTGCTGGAGGGCTGGATGAGCAAATGAGAAGGGGAAGGAGACGGAAGAAAGAAAGAAGAGACAGGAGAGATAAAAAGGGAGTTTTTCCCTTTAAGACACCTCTGGCAAGGAAGTGCAGGAGTTTAGCAGAGGCCTGGATGAACCAGGGCTTAAAGCCCTGAGGGAGAAGGATCAGGAAGAGGTCACCAGACAGATGCAGCTCTGAAGGCCTCTATCTTGAGAGACTGTCACCAACCTCTGAGAGCCACCAATCTGACTGTGAGGTGACGGTGGGGCCCTGAATGCTCAGACCAGTAGCCTTTTCTGGAAAAAATGCAAAAACAAACAAACAAAAATTGGGTGTGGGGAGGAGAGTCTGGCTAAATCATGTGGTCACAGTAAAGGCAAGTTCCCAGTCAACCCACTTCATTCTGAATTTTGCTCCAACTTTTAAATTCATTGTATACAAATGAAAATTAAAACAAAACAAAACAAAAACAAGAACTCTCAGTTGAACAGAGATAAATCTGTGAAAATCATCAATGAGCTCTGTGCTCTGCTCAGAGGGTCTTTATTTCCCACCTCCCCCTGCCCCAAAGCCCCCGCACTGGGCCTGCCCCCAAAGAAGGAGTTAACCCATGCCCAAGCTTTATGCTTGGAGGTATCCATCTGTTTCTTAACTTTCTATTCTAATGTGTAGTATTTATAAATGCACAAACTTAGATACACATTTTTCTTTTCTATTATATATATATTGTATATAATCTTTCTTTATTTTTTTTTTTTTTGGAGACAAAGTCTCCCACTGTAGCCCAGGCTGGAGTGCAGTGGCACAATCTTGGCTCACTGCAACCTCCACCTCCCGGGTCCTAGTTCAAGCAATTCTCCTGCGTCAGCCTCCTGAGAACCTGGGATTATAGGCACATGCCACCATGCCCAGCTAATTTTTGTATTTTTAGTAGAGATGGAGTTTCGCCATGTTGGCCAGGCTGGTCTTGAACCCCTGACCTTGTGATCTGCCCGCCTTGGCCTTCCAAAGTGCTGAGATTACAGGCGTGAGCCACTGCGCCTTTATATAACCTGCACTGTATATAACCTTTCAAACCACCTCAAATCCCTTACTTAAAAAAAGTCTAAGTTAAATGAACACCTAGATACTTGTTTGGTCTCTAAAGGACTTAGAGAAATTTCCAACCTCTTAAGTAACATTTCACCAAGAAATAACACACTGAAAAACACAAGTTCTAATTTCTTTTTCCCCATCTCCTAACTTGCAACCCTGTGAAACTGATATAGTGAGTCAGAAGGTAGCCAGTAGGAAGAAGAAAAAAGAGAAGAAAATGGCACTGATAATCCACCAAAAGGATGAATAAAAATGTAAGTTTCCTTGCTTATTAGCAATTGTTAGGTGATGTTTAGGACAAAAAGGAACCTCAGGTTTTGGTAAATATCCAGGAAGAAACATTCCATTCTGCTTCTGGTTACTAATCTGCTGAAAAATCACTCAGCTACACTTGACAACTTTCTGGTGCTCACTTTTCTGAGACAGCTTCTTTCCATGTTCCCCAAATTCTTTGATCATAACAGGTACCACCCTCAGTCGGGTAAAATGCCCGGAGAGCTGGCAAAGCTGCCCAGCTCACACTGAATTATGTAAGCCTCAAAGTTTTCATTGTGCAGTCACTATTGGGAGACCCATTTTAAAGGGGAAACATGTATGAAGAAGAAATTAGATCATTTATAAATGCACAAACCACATTTTAACACAGCAAAATTAGAACTCAAAAGCTTTAGCTTCTGTTTTTTTCAAGTTGACTGTAGGTACTTAGTTATGAATTTCAGATTGTGTTTTCAACTATTAA